CAGTACCACAGACAGGAAGAGTCCTCTTATCTCTCTAAGTAATAGTTTACTGACATTTAGAGGCTGCATAGCATTGTGACCAATGGGGCTTCTTATAATTGTGTTACAGCTCCTGAGGGAGCTTGCACACAGGAGCAAGGGCCCACTTTGCCTCATATATATACACACACATAGCAATAAAAGCAGACCTATCCATTAGTACCTGACAGAGAACCATTAATCTAATAACAAAGTGACGTATGAAGCCTCATGCACAACAACGCATCAATCCTGTGCCCAACTACCCTCCCAACTCTGCTCAAACACACATGAAGATCAAATAAATCACTAAGTAATTACAATCTGTGTGACACGGGGAAGAAAAACACAAGAGACAACAGTGCACAATTAGTGGTGGAAAAGGGACATTAAAATTCACCATTAAAAGAAGGACTAGTAATAAAACCAATAACAGCAAAAAAAACCTGAACAGAAATGCAAACATTATATGAGCGCTAAGAGATGTGTTTATGATGGAGAATAAAGAGAAAATGAGTGCCTTGTGGTGTCATTTTAAAAATTCCCATTAACATGTGTGGAGTTGGCACCAGGATTAGAGAAGTTATTCCCCATTAAAGCATCATAAATTCCGGTGCAGAACTGTCCTTTTTAATTTCTTATACCTTCATCAGCATAATATACTCTTAAGTATATACATACTTGCAGCGTAGAGAGCCACTTTGTCATGGTCTGCGTGTTTGAGCAGGTTCTCAGCGTAGTTGAGCCGAGCTCCTTTAAACCACTCGGGAACATCTGAGATGCGTTTGGATACATCCACCACCTGATAAAAACACACGGAGGGGAGCGACACATCAGAGAAGCGCTGATGCTTTCTATCTTTCTCGTGAAATTGTTCAGACAATAATTTTTCACATCTGCTATGCTCTCCTTTTCTGTTTCTTTACTGTATTCGCAACAAAATTTAAGAATTGCAAACAAAATTTAAAAAGTAAGATAAACAATTTCCTAGAAAACTCCAAGGCAACACTGGGATATAACAGTGCAGCCCACAGTGCAAGACTGTAACAAAACGTTTGATTGACTGGCTAATTGCTTGCCTGTCCTCTATTTATTGTCTGCTTAGACAAAAGAGTGAAGAGGAAACATTAACCATGTGTACAGAAGGGGCGTGTGAACTACACACTACGGTGTGAGACACTATTTGTTACCTCACACACCCACGTCAGCATTGTATCCTGGAACTATCCTGGAACTAAGCAGCATTAAGCCGATGAAACAGGAAATTATATAATTATCAGAATTTAAAATCACTGAACCTTACTTCAATTCTAGTTGGGTTTTCAGTTTAGCATGACCATTATATTGATGTACAGTAAAATATTAAATGTTTTAGTGACCTAAACTGTTTAGAAATGTAGTCTTTGGCTTTAAAACTGGGATAAGAAATACACACATTTTTCTATTCCCATTTTTAGGTTATGACATACATGAAGGTTGGACTCACCTCTTCATATGGCTTTGAGCTCGCGACTCCACAAAAGCGCCAAACCTCTCCCCAGAACTCTGGGTAGGAGTCCACTGACCACTGGTACAGGTCACTGTAGTTGGCTAGAAGACAAAGGATTTGTCATTATTTGAGAACAAAAGTTTCCAATTATTATTGTATTATTGTAGAGATAAGAGGAAACGTTAGTGTAAGCACCCCTTAGGCTTAGACCAACTGAAACATTTTGGTATCTCTTCTTTCCTAAATCCTTACTCAAAATAAAATGTATCTGGAAAAACCTTCAGCAGAGAGAAGTGGTTCTTATTCCTGAAAACTAGATCTTTTTATTTAAAGGAAAGGTTTTGCTGTCCATGAGATCTACTTAATCACTGTAGGAATGTAGGAATACTGTAAGGATCAGAACACCTGGTGCAATTAGGAACACCAGATTAAGGAAAATAGAAATCTGGATATCAGCACGTTGAAAATAGGATGATACTATTTTTACTGTTTCAATTACACATTCCTTCTACAGTGCTCATCTACACTGATGTACCAATCCTATCCTCGTCTCCTCTCTACTTATTCATTAGCCGGCTGCCAAGTTTTTCAGCATTCCTTTAATTCTGTTTCTTTAAAATGACATGGTACTAGAAAGACAAGTGAAACAGGCCGCTCTCTTCCATCCTGGCAGCTCTGCAGGCGCAGTCTTTTAGTTCCGAGCTGGAAGTAATCAAAACACCACAGGCTTGTAAACGGCTAATAATTACTGAACAGGGAGTGTTAGAGTGGTTGTAGGTCATCCTTAATAAAACTCTTCTAAGACAATAAATTCGTAGATGTGTTTATGCTGATTCACCGCCTATACATGTTCTTTACATGTGTTTAAATGGCAATAAGCTAGCTTGAAATGCTCCACAGCAAGCCATCACTACACTGTGCCGATTGTGAGGTAACGTACTGCCTTTAAAACATGAACTGACACATAGCAAAAAGGAGAGATGCTGCTCGTTTCTGTTTTTCTATCTGGCTGAGTTATGCAGCTTCGTAGGCTCAATAATCCGACTTGTATTCTCTCCAGCACACCTACTCTGGAGCCTGTCTGGCTCCCTCCCTCCGACCCCACTCACCCAGATTAAGCCCGTAGTCCTGGTTGACCTGTATCCTGAACTTATCCATCAGTGTGTTCCTCTTAGAATCCGGGTACCACAGAACCTTGCTCTCCATATCCATAATTTTCTCACTCTTTCCTTCCGTGTCTTTGGACATCTTTGTCGAGTCCCTTTGTCGCCTGTTAACAACGAGTTAAAACGAGTCCCGAGCGTCTTATAAAAGCTAAGTGCTCCTGAGGTGACAGCTCTGGGTAAATTAGATCACAGGCTAGCCTCTGAGATTGAATGGCACCACACTCCAGTGCGTGACAGTAGCTACGCTCACTGTCAGCGGAGAGCGTGGGGCTGCCCAGGAAAACTGAGAGGCCACGCCCCGGCGTCGTCACGTAGCAGGGCAAGTTCGGTTCAAGATCGACTTTGGTTGACAAGTGTTTGACAGTGTTACGAAGAATGCAAGCAACAGTTCCTAATTCGTTTCTTTCAGACGTCACAATAGGCATATATGCACACTTTTAATCCTATCTTAAATAAATAACGATGATTCTGAAGAAGGAGGCCTTACTCCTGACCAAAATATTATATTTTTTCATCAATACATGTTAAATAAAATGTTGATATGATGCAAATATGCAACGGTAACAAGCAAATTCTGAGCAATATATTGGTGATCACCTGTAACACATCATCATTGACTGACTGTCTTTATCAGATTGCCACGGTCCTTCTGCTGTTGTTCATGTTTAATCATTTACATTATTGTGTTGATATTTTTTAATGATGTTTGCACACAAAATTCTGATACTTAATGAGATGACAAAGGAGGCCGAAGAGAACCATGAGAGGTGGAGGTATGCACTGGAGAGGAGAGGAATTTAAGTCACCTTTAGAGAGCCAGTCAAAGATCCAAGGATTAAAATTGGTAGAAAAATTATCTTAAAGCCATTAATTCCACCATTCAAAGCAGTAGACAGCGCTGAAGAGGGATACTGAAGAGACAATGGGCAGGGTGGAAGATGAGTGTCAAGGGGGATTTGTGATAGAAGGATAGCACCAAGGGTGAAATGGAAAGTTAACAAGACAGTACTGAGACCTGCTATGGTGTATTGTTTGGAGAAAGTGTCGCTAACAAAACAACAGGAGGTAGAGCTGGTGGTGGCAGAGATGAAGATGTTAAACTTTTGTTGGCTGTGTGCAGGACTGAGAGAATTGAGTATGTTAGAGGGACAGCTCGGGTTGAGCAGTTTGGAGTTGGAGAGGCAAAGCTGACCACCACCACTGGCCCTTTATGCCTCTTTTCATTAAAAGTTATCATTCTTTAACCCGCGCACAAAAGCTGCAGTTGCAGAAATCTTGAACATCTCCCGCACGCAAAGCGAAGGCTTTCGATTGGTCCTCAGCGCACTGGCTCCACATCAGCCGACAGATCGCTCTATGTGGGAGGCGCATAGCTGTCAACGGACTGGCGTCTAGGTTGCTCAAGGGAAGGCTGTCTTTTAGGTTCACGATGTGGTTTCAAAAGCATTTGAACCAGTCAAAGAGCAAGAATGTTGGGGTCCGGTTTGAGGGGTGTGCCCAATTAGAATCGAGAAATAACGACACTCCTTATTGCGTGGTGGTGTCATCCAACCTTGTTTTCATTAAGTGATGGAAAAGCTTCTATATAATTGTATCATGTCCTGACTGTTCTAGTCTAGATTACATAACATACCAATAGTTTTGTTTCTGTTACTATATTAATAATAATTTGTATATTGATATTAATCCCCAAGCCCAAAATGAATTGTAATCCACTGATGTCAATCTATAGCCTTAAAATATCCATGTACACATGATAGTGAGCATGAAGTCAAAATTTCTAGTTCCCTAGCTTTGGAGTCCAGATTATAATACCAAAGGCCTCATGGCCATTCTACCTGGAGAAATATGGAGCCAACAAACACAATAAAATACTTGAGGAGCTCTGAATAGCCCCAGTGTGTCTTTTGATTTCTTGATCTCAGTCTCTTAGCAACATGCCTTGAGTATACCTTGATAAAAGGCAAAAACAAATAGGGAAGGACAACGAATGTGTTCTTGTGTGTGTGTGAATACATATGTGTGTTTATAAGTCTGGTTAAAGGACGTGTTGCTGAATTTACACATTTTGAGAAGCATGGCTATTCATTTTTTCCATGGCAGTTTGCAATTAGCAAATGGAAATTTTCACATACTTTTTCATGCAGGCTTGGTTAGGTTTGGATAGATGTGCGCTTTAAAACTGCATCTTGTATTTACTTGGGTTGTCTTTGTCTAATATTGAAATATGTTTATTGATCTGAAACATGTAAGTGTACAAATATGCAAAACAAAAAAACAAAAGAAAAATACTTTTAAAAAATCAGGAAGGAGGGAAACTTTTCACAGAACTGTATAAGACTTAGATTCAGCCTGCATTGTGGTTGTATATAAATGTATTCGTAAACCTACAAAGTGCTTTATTCACATGGGGAAAGTACATGAATCAAAGCAACAGCATAACTTATACAAACATTCTGTGATAAGGGGTTGCTATTCAGTTGAACGTTTGGGAGCTTGACTGTAGTAGAATTAAATGCATAAATGTCACTGCATTTGGAGACAATTGTATTTAGATGTAACTTTTTCAATATTTTCCTAATACATTGAAAAACTGATGTCTAAAAACCCATATGAAACATATATGTTCCATAAAATCTGTAATATCCCTCATTCATTTTTTAAAATAAATTATATCAAATCATGACCAATGACGAACATTTTTATTCAGACTTAAGAAAAGTCTCCCAACTTCTATGTAGTTTTTCTTTTCTTCTTTTCTATTTTTTTGTTTGTTTTTGTTTAAATTGCTTGTTTTAAAGGTCAAAATTCACAATCAAGTGGATTTTGGCTTTGAAAAGGATTTTGTCCAGTTGTAAAATATTGTGCCAAGGTATGAGATTGCTTTAACCTCTTAAGACCCGAACTCTTCCACGGCATGCATTTTTTATTTCTCTTTGATATTTGGGAATATTTGGGCCCGATGAATGTAAAAACAAAGAATTACCTTTAAAACTATTACCTTTACCTTATTTTTGTTTTTAAGAAAAATAAGAGCCGCATATGAGGATATTTGTTTAAAACTATGATAGAACAGTAGCAGTATAATGTCCTAAGTGGATATCAGGCCCTTGTAGAGCAAAATTGAGTAATTTGGTCTAAATAACCCAAAATGTGATGTCCACATATGTGGACGCCAGGTCCTAGGAGGTTAAAGACTTGAAAGAGTTGACCTTTAGGTAGCTTGCTTCATTGTTAGTCAGACAAACCTTCTGTCACTGAATTTAACCCGAAATGGACTCCTGTCATCACGCCACAGTCAGAGTTTTTCCTTTATCTACGTAATCACATTTTGGCTCTGTATGTCTAACGTGGTCCAGCCATATTTTGTAACAAGCTATGACCACATCTGTAAGTTTATTTTGAATTATTTCACAATGACTGGTCTTTGGATTGTGCAACATAAAATTTACAAGTAACACATTCCATATGGAGTAGTTATAGTTAACTACAGCATAACCAACCCTAATTTTGAAAATATTTTGTGTCAAGTTAACCAGCTTAGACTGACATAGGATGACATAGTGTATGTAGAGCTTTTACAATAAATTTTCTTAGAGTGAAGTACAAAAAAGTGTTTGCTTTTTTCATGTGTAATCTTCAGGTTTAGCCATGTGATTTGGCTGGTTTGAGTTGCATTATGCATGTCAAGTGAATATATTATGATAAAACACCTTGAGGATTTAGCTTTTGAATTTTAAACTGTTAGGTCTTAAATTTGAGTTTATAAGCCTCCTTTTAATGAATATCACGGCCCAAAGTCCACTTGGATTACAAGACCTTGGACAAACTGAGCAGCATTTAGTATGCTGCCAAAGGGCAGTTTGAGGTTTATTACATTGATTTAAAGTTCAATTTGAAATCATTTTATGAGGATTGGAACAAATGTTTGAGACTTGTAGTCAGAGATAAGAGCTATAGGAGTGCATCAGTGGGGGTCACATGAAAGAGAGAAATGTCCAAATTTTCATTCTTTAGCTATTACAAAGGTAAAGAAATATCTGCACAATGCACATTGCACGTTCAAGAAAGTGCCCCTCTAACTGGAAGCATCAAATTCTCCCACCTTATTCTAAAATGGAATATAAATGCAAAGAAGTGCCACCTAGTGGCCAGAAATAACACGATGACAAAAGAACAATTGTCTAAATTACATACAGAAACCAATGGGCAGTAAAAAAAAAAAAAAAAGCAACAAGGTATAAATATTGTTCCGTATTATAGAGGAAAAGTGTAAATTTTGTAGTTCCGTTGGCCTATCCCCTTAGATTTGATGCGCAAGTGATTACGTGTTTGCTGACCCATTATTACAATTGACAAATATGTGCTTGTAGTATTTTCATTATTTTACACTTGATTATTGTTTTGTAGGACTCCATATTAAGACAAAGTCGTTGTAATGTGTTAAAATATCTCTCAAATTCTTTTCCAAGTTTCACTTGATTTTGCCACATCGTTCCTTTTTTTCATCTTGTTTAGCATAACCCTATGGCACCCTGAGATAAAACAGCAAAAATGCCTTTTAATAAGCCTGTTTCACGTAAGGTTGATTTCCCATAAACTGTGAACGAATACAAAATACTTTATTATCTTAAAAGACATTGCTCCAGTAGATGGCAGACTAACATCATGCAGTTGTATCCAGTGATAATCCTATTATTGTTTGTGTGAATAATATTTATATATTCTTTCATATTCATTTATTTATACATTTTCCCCCGAAAATAAACGAACTTAACAAAGGCCTGTTGTGCATACAAGAAAAAAACATTCTTACAACGAGCGTAAATAAGATTACTAATAGTTTTGTTTGTAATAATTTTTTGTTTAACTTTTACAGTTTCCCCCCTCATTTTAAAAGCTATGTCTTTTTATATGGCCGCTTCATTTAGCCTACTCAAAATTGTAATTCCATTCATGCAGAACGTTTAGGGACAGTTTTTAACTGATTTATATGGGGATCTCAAAACAAGATAATATAAATATTTTTTCCATTAAAATTTAAACAAATGTTAATTTTACCAGTTCTTAAAGGTTCCTTACGACACTTTTAAGTCAAACCTACCTTTATTTTCCTTCTACGTCATATGACTGAATCGTGTCACGACGTCATCACCCTTCACGGAAGTCGGTGCGGTGATGATGGTGTCCCCGTTTATGTAGCAGCAGGAAGAGGATGTTTGCTTCCATTGAAAGAATAATATCACCTGCTTGTACATATTTGTAACGTAGTGAACTGCTGTAGAGTTTTTCTGCGGACCCGGTGAAGATTTAGACAGCTCACTCCCTCTCCCGGAGGCGGCCCGAAAACATGTCCCTGTTCCAGTCGGCACTAGATTTCTTAGCCGGGCCCGGCTCCTCCGGAGCGGCCAGTCGGGACCAAAATGATTTCGTCGGACAAGTCGTTGAACTCGGTGACATGAAGCTGAGAATCAGGAGGGTGATCGCGGAAGGTGAGATACGTGCGCATCACAACAAGAAATTTTGGTCACGTCTTCAGCGGCTAGTCATGCTAGTTAGCTGAATTTGCTAACATGTTAGCATTTGTGAAATACCTCTACTGGAGTAAGTGATAATATAGTTAGCAAGTGCAGGACAGCGAGTCGCCGAGCAAACGCCAGGTGATAATTTGGTTTCGACTGTATCTAACAAGCGCTAAATCGATTTCCAGAATTAGGTACTTCAAGGAAACGAATAGACATTTCAAAGTTAAATTTGACGTGTCTGCTTTGTGTTACCGCTTTACACCTCACTGAAGGCTGTGTGTGTGCAGGCAGAGCTGCGCTTTACGTGTCCACCTTTACCGTCTGTCTTTCTTGGAAACACGGCACTCTTTGCTTCATGAGAAAGACTTGATAAAAGTGTGAGTCAGGCCTGCCGGGCCCCGAAGATATGAGTGATGACGGTGTTGTTGCTTACCAAACCAATTGATTATCTGTAACAGGGCAGGCTGGAAACTCTTTACAAGTTTCAGTCGAAACAGAGCACTTGAAAAATTCTGCTGGATTGTTTCTTGTGACGTCAACAAGAGTGGCATTCCTGTGCCAGCACTGGTGCCTGCTTATTGAATTCTTTTTGTTAAGTATAAAAATATTGTCACACGTTTGTGGTTAGGGCTGCAGTAGAAACAAGTGAATACCACAGATGCCATAAGGAGAAACCTACTGGTAGGTTTGTGACAGCAAGGAAGGGTCTTGCTGCCTGGATTACTGCTTTTTGAGCGTGTAATAAACGTTTAATATATCAGAGTAGACCAATTATGTACCAATTTGGACTGATAGTTTAGCATTACAAAGCACTTAATTTGGTAATTGTCAACAGTTTAGTGTGATCTGATTAGTCGATTAGTTTGGGTTTTTATTTCACAAACTAAATATTGTCTTCCGAGGCAAAAAGGAAAACGCTGATCTGGTGTTCCTGATTTTTCGAGGTATCACTGATTATTTGTTTTTGCTGTGTCAGCAAGTGGTATATTCTGCTTTTTGAGAGCAGGTGAGAAGAGAACATGGCATACCCTGTCAGGTTACATAACATGATCTACTCCAACATTGCACACAAACAATCAAATAATATATTTAGATCCATGATTACTGATGTGATCTCCACCTGGTGTCTTGCAGAAAAGTGCTTAAAATTTTGGCTGATTATAGCTTCAATCTCCCAACTCTATAACTAGAACCTCCAGTTGGAAAGCCAGCATATCATTTCTTCCATAGCAATTTCCCAGACATCCAAAAACCCTTAAATCTACCTAGGGCATCTTTTTATCTATATTGAATACACTTTTATATTCTTAAAAGTGTTTTGGAACACATCTCTATATATCTGTTTTAAAAACCTACTCTTTGACCTGCTCTAGTAGACTGGTCATGGTATATTATTTTATTTTGTATGATGCCCCCTGAAAGCTGCTATGAATTTAGAAACTGTGGAAAGCAGTTCTCTCTGAGGGTTAAGGGTGGGCTTCAAATAAACATGCTCCACTTTTCCTTTAATTATCTGTTTGTTTTTTTTTGTCTTGCCTCCTGTATGGTGTGCACCAGCAAACATGACTATGTTGGCAAATAAGATGGCATTTACTATTGTCTACGGCTGATTTCTACGTGTTTTGTCACATCGATTTAAAGTTGACTGAATATGCAAAGCTAGTGTGATATAAGACTTTAGTTAAGTCGTGTTTTTTTTTTTTGTTGTTGTTGTTGTTGTTGTTTTTTAATAGAGAACATGCAAAATTCACATAACCAGGAGTCCTCTAGCTGTGAGGCATCATTGCTAACCACTGTACTACTGTTCTTCAGATATACTATCAACTTTCTCTCTTTGTTAGTATTGTGATTTCACTTCCCGGTCCACAATAGTTTGATTCAAACAGGTTAAAGGAAACGCACAAGACCTTCCAAATCAAAGCAAATGGAGTGGAGATCATTTTACACTAAAACGCTGCCTGTTTCAAACTCCCATCATGCAATTTCAAAGGTGTCTTTGTTGGGACCTTTTGCTGAGACAAAAACAATGGATTGCTGTAACCAGATGGTTCTGTTTTTTTTGTTTTTGTCTACTACACCAGTTATAGTCCTACAATTGTATAACCCAGGCAAACATATTGTTTAAGAGTGAGATTGAATAAATTAGTGTTTGATAAAGAAGGATTTAAGGTATTTTTAAATACCTTTCTGTATTTTTTTCTTAGACTCGTTTGGAAATTGGAGCAGAGAAAATGGAGCTTCTTAGCTTTCAGTCTCTTACCTTCCATTTTACAAAATAGTGGAAGACATTTAATCTCCGCAGGGAGGTTATCAAAATGAGTCGCATAACACAACATAACCTGTAAGGAACAACACGCTTTGTTGCGGTTTGATAGTCAACTGGAATGTTTTTTGTGTGAGTTGAGAGTTGAAGTACAGGCAAAAAAATAAATAAATGTAGGCAGGCACGAGGTCGCTGGTGAGAGTCCCAGAAAAAGAGGTTTTATGAGAACTGGGGAAGTGACCACCATACGCACATGGGCTTATGCAAAGCAACCTGTTAAAGATTAGATGGCTGGTAGTTGATTTACTCATGTCTGTGGTAATCTTGGCATTTCCTTGTTTGGCTTGGTAAGTAGAAGTATTTGAGACACACACAGCCAGACTGAAGTTTCTCCTTTACTAGTCACAGTGACCCGGGGAAAAGAAAATCAAAATAATGCAAAAACCGCCCCCCAAAACATTGTTCCACGAGTGCATCTGCTGTTTAGACAGTTAGCTTTTATTAATCCCAGATTGATAATGTTATGTCAGTTTAAGGGACTGGCTTTAAGCAGCACAGAAGTTTTTCGTGAAATACATTATGATGAGACTGGTGTTGTTCCCTATGACAGTAGTGTCTACAGAGTGGTATACTACGAAGGAAGTTCAACACCGTCAGGCTTTCTTAGTGTTAGCTGGCTCAACCAAACCTAAAGCCATAGCTGGAGATAACGGGTCTCACAACAGTGGTTATCAACTTTCTCTTTTAAGCATGCTTTCTATTTCAGGCTCTGTGTGTGCTCACTTAAAAAGGAGTGTTTTCATAGGTCACAACTCCTCCACACAGGCAGAGATCCTATCAGATAAAATAGTAATCTAAAAAGAACAGCAATAGACGAACAGTAAATATATAAGATAAAATAAGATAAACCTTTATTAGTCCCATACATGGGAAACTTTAAATTGCAACACTCTTGAAAATAAGACAAGAAAGTATTGCTACTGAAAATCATTAATCTGGTGACTTTGCCGATTGTTTCTAACATGAAAGGTGCTCTTTAGAGCTCTGATAGTTTAAATTTGATACTTTTAAACATTAAATTAGGTTATTTGACAAAATCAATTTGTCAGCACATCAGAATAAAATACATTTTCTTGATTGAATAAGTATTCTTGGTCTGTTTTCTGTTTTATAATTGCTGCATTTCTAGCAGTGTAAAAGAGAGTTAGCAACAGATTAGAATCAAGGATAACAAGGTTTAAACATTTCCTGCATCACCAAATGAATACATGTTCCAGTGAGAATGCAGGTGTCCAGTTTGCATTGCTTTAACTTTACAGCTGGGCTTCATTTGTGATCTTACTAAGGTGCAGCTTAACAAGCTGCAGAAATGACACATATTCCCACAGGAGAAAATCTATATTACAGTTGAAACTGCTGTAAATAAAAGAATAAGTAAAAACTAGGCAGCCAGATAACTTTAGACCAAAACTCTGAATGTAACCTGTGCCACTTTTGTAACACAGAAAACTCATAGCTGTTAATGTTTTATTAATTGTAATTTATAAAACAGCCCTCTACTGTGTAAATATGGAGAGCGATTATTATAGAAAAATGGATTTGACAACATTATAAGCAGTCAAGGTTTTAGCTGCATCTTCAATGAACAGGATACCCAGTAGGGCTTACAGTCAGTATTGCATGAAATCAAGTGGTGCATGCTGTAATGGTTCTATTCCCAAGTTAAAAAGGAAAACAAGCGCTTGAACACAGCATTAATACAAAAAATAATAATACATTTAAATATTAAACATGTCATCCCATGTGGTTTATTAATTAATTGTCAAGTGATTTTGTCATTTTAATTTCAGAATAATTTAAACATAGACGTTTGATAATAATCCAGGACACCAACTAGACAGTATTACAATATATCCTGGTCAGTATCACAAAATTCTTTCAGTATCCTGAACATTTGAGAATCGTCAACCCACTAACACACTAAATCATAAAAAACTGTAAATTAAATCCTCATCTTCTTTCTTTTTTTTTCTTTTTAAGGTGGATTTGCTTTTGTATATGAAGCCCAGGACATGAGCAGTGGTAAAGACTACGCCCTCAAGGTAAGATAAGGTGTACTGACCCACACCCTCAACGTTAAAAATGTTCCACTGTTACGTTTTGGCTGTGTTGCTCATCACTGAGCATGTATTTGTTAATGTGCGTGTCATTGTGTGCACTGTATTACCCAATGCATCAAATCAGTCACATTAGCTCTTCTTACATTGGTTTTTACATTCTTCAGCACCTGCTTTTAATATGCAAAACAGACAAAGTACTACAGGTTATTAGTACATGCACTTGTCAGCAGTGGAATGTATTATTGTCTGCATTACACTGCTGAATCAAAACATGCAATTGGACGCGTCCCTTGACAGAAAGATTTTCCCTTTTTATCTATACAGCTGTTCTAATGAGACAGTAACTGAAAAAATGTAGGCTTAGCAATGTGGACGGCCGCTTACCAGGTAGTTTGTTGTTCATATGCAATATGCAATTATTATTTGTATTAAAGTCATTTTGTACAGAATGATGAAGCTCTAAACAATTATGTTTGCACCGTTTCCTACTTACTCAATTCTGTTCATGCTGTATCATATATATATATTTATTAGCTTCTCATTTAAGTATAAAAACCTTAAATGCTGAACAATTAAAGTGTCCTTTGAGTGTATTTATCAGATAACCACATAAATTATCTTTAAAGTAATTGTAATTTTACTATTATTATTATTTATTTTGTTTGAAGCTAATGCTTTATAAGCAGTATGCTAGTTCAGTCCTGTTAGGCATGTATTATGTTGATCACAGAACAAAGCAATGGTTTGTATGCATTTTTTTTCCAGAGACTGCTGTCTAATGAAGAAGAGAAGAACAAAGAAATCATACAAGAAGTCTGCTTCATGGTATCCTTTAATTATTAAGAATAGAATAGAATAGAATAGAATAGAATAATCCTTTAATTGTCCCACAAGGGGAAATTTGGTTGTAACAGCAGCCAAAAAGACACATACAAACAAACAGTACACAGGACACGGAACAGAAATGTACACAATTTTTACATATTTACATCAAGGACAGTGGTTACTATATACAGAGAGTACTGTACAGTTATTAAATAAAATAAAAATAACTACAGATAAGAGGCAAAGCAGGTTAATGAGTAAAACACAAAAGTGTTTCTGTAAAGAGTTGTTTTTTTTAGTTTTTAGTTTTTTTTACTTCACACCAAATGTTAATATGTAGCTGACACTGAACACCCATAGATCATCTGCCATAGCTCTCTGAGTAGTTTGCTTTTTGGACACCTGCTGCAATCTAAAACTGCTGATAGCTTAAACAAAGTAGGCTGACATGCGACAGGTGAAAACCAGCAGCTTCTGCCAATAGAAACTGGTTATGATTGTGATTTATGAAACGGCAAATTTAAGGCGAGGCTTGTCACAGCAGCAGTGTTTATTCTGTATGTTCCTTCACCTGCTGGCTCTATAGAAAAAGCTGTCCGGTCATCCAAATACGGTTCAGTTCTGCTCTGCAGCCTCCATCAGTAAAGAGGAGTCGGACACCGGGCAGGCTGAGTTTCTGATCCTCACTGAGCTGTGTAAAGGTAAAAACACACACAGTTTTGTTTCTTTAGTGCTGAATCAGTTCTTACTCATTCATGAAATGCGCATGCAGTAATTCAGGGGTGCTGGAACTGTTTCTGAGTAACTCCCACTGAAAGGCAATCATGATGAAAGTTTCCTGTCTGTAGCCTTTGTTTCCTGCTCTGCTTCCTTTTTGTGTAGTTACAGCAGACAAGGTTTTTTCATTCAGCAGTTTTTCAGCTTTCTGGGCAAATACTTTACTGCTTACCACAATAAGTATGTTAACAGCAATAAATCATTTGTAGGATGTGTGCAAAGCACTTTTTCTTTAATTTTGTAATTTTATTACTAAATACAAGACTTTTATCTACAGTTTCGCATTCTTTTGTCTTTTTGTACCTCTTTCACCTCAGGTCAGCTGGTGGACTTTATTAAGAGGGTAGAGCAGAAGGCTCCTCTATCATGTGACACTGTGCTAAAAATCTTCTACCAGGCGTGCCGCGCTGTTCAGCATATGCACAAACAGAAGCCTCCCGTGATACACAGAGACCTCAAGGTTTGTCTGCCTCTGGTATTTAAAGGATGACTGATGTGTCAGAGGGGAGAATAAAGAAAAATGCACAGTATACAGTGCAGTTATTTAGTTGGTGCTTTTACTTATGACCACATTTTCATCATATCATGTGCTGCTGCCCTTGTTCTGTCTCAGAAGTCTTACTTATGGCAATTAAATGAAATGCTAACTCACTGCTTGGTTGATGTGTTGCAGATTGAGAACCTCTTGATTAGTAACCAGGGCACCATCAAGCTGTGTGACTTTGGCAGCGCCACCACAGTGTCACATTATCCAGACTACAGCTGGTCAGCACAGAAGAGGTCAATGGTGGAGGATGAGGTACCCAAGCATGCAGACAGTTCTTGGTGATCTTAACAGTGACCTGCTTATACACAGTGTTGGGAAGGTTACTTTTAAAATGTATTCCATTACAGATTACAGAATACATGCCCCAAAATGTATTCTGTAACGTATTCCGTTACGTTACTCAATGAGAGTAATGTATTCTAAATACTTTGAATTACTTAATATATTATCATGCTGTTTACAACTACGTGAATGTACTATTGCTGTGATTTATTACTATTACCGAAGGTCCGCGGCTCCGAACCGTAGTAAAGGGACCTCTGACTAATATGGCGGGTTCCATGTCTGGCTCGAAGCCGAAAAATAGCTTTACTTCAACTTTGCTTGCGAGAGACAGAGAGAGGCGTTGAAAGGCTGCTCCAACGAAACTTATTGTTTTCGGAGGAAAACACAAACACGGTGTACAGTCGAGTCTTAATAGCTTACTTACAACTGGGCTCGTCAGGCACTCTCCTTGGCTGCAGTGGTTATTATTATATTTACATGCTTCCAGCTCTCTCACCCAGGAGGCACAGTGTCGCCCTGTAACCATGGCAACCGTAACGCTGCCGCCTGGAACAACAGAACATAGCTGTCAAACAAACCCAAACAATCCTGACCTGCGACAATATGAAACAGGAAAGTGCCGCAGTGTAATCCATTTATTTCAACAAAGTAACTGTATTCTAAATACCACCTTTTTAAACGGTAACTGTAACGGAATACAGTTACTCATATTTTGTATTTTAAATACGTAACGGCGGTACATGTATTCCGTTACTCCCCAACACTGCTTATACAGTACATGCGTTGTTAAGCTGTATTGGGTATTATATGAGATGATATTTTCTGAGTTTCATTAATATTGAAGTCTGTCTAAGATTTTGAACATATAGATGGATTAATATATGAATTCTAAAGTTATTGGATTCAAGTCACTTATTATAAAGCAGATTTAAAACAACAGGAGGAGGAGCCACCTCTCATTTCCTGAAATTTTGTTTCCATGGAGCCAGATTTTCTTTTAATTTTTTTTAAGTGATCTTTAGCAGTAGTTCTCTACAATAGTTCTCCAGGCTTTCTGAAGGTCTGTCTTTGGGCATTGGCTCCTTTCAGTCGGAAATACATTTTTAAGAAATGAGGGAAGCTCAAAATATTTGCACAGTACTGTAAATAAGGAAAGGAATCAAAAGTATCCTTAAAGTTTAAAATAAAAAAAAAACATGACAGAAAAAGCAAAATGCTATTAAAGATCCTCAGAGTGAACTAAAAGCAAGAGATAAGCAGCGAATGAAAACAGTAAATAGTAATTTCATCACTGATCACAAGATTGTGTTGATATCCTTGAATATGTGATTAGAGATTAAAGGTTGAAATCTGCTTCACAGGTAGACATTTTATATCGTTTTAATATTTTAAAGAAAACATAAAAGGAAAACTGCAGCCACTTTGATTTCATTTTGTTTCCTTTAGTTGCTTTGTAAAAAGTAGGATGATTAATTGAGAAGACAAAAATACACATACCAAGACAGAGTGGGTCAGTGGCAGTATTGATATGGTGTTGAGCATAAACCAGAAACCTTTAATTGGATTAACAGCCAGAGGTCCAGGAAGCCCTAAACAATCATGTAAATTATATTTGTACCATAACCACACAGCTGCCCACTTACACACTGGAGCTTTGCCACAGATGAACTTCGAATGCAGAACACCAGACGTCTTGGCTTGTAAATCTAATAGACTTCTTGTTTACCAGGCACATGTTGCACATAATAGAATAGAATAGAATAGCCCTTTATTGTCGTTGTACATCTACAACGAAATTATGGAGATGTGAGTAATGTACTCATCTTGTGCACTTCTTGTACAGAGCACATGGCTTTTTCAGTTCTGTCTAATCGGGAGAAAGAATTTTACAAAGATTTACAAACATATGACTTAAGCTTGATATTTGCTTTCATGTCAATTCATTTTAAAAAATGTTTTTCTGTAGATAACAAGGAACACCACTCCTGCGTACCGAACGCCAGAGATGATCGATCTCTACTCCAACTTTCCCATCAATGAGAAGCAAGACATCTGGGTCAGTCATTTTCAGACATTAGTGTAAAGCTCCATTTATAATTTAGACACAACTGACTTTCTCTTCTTCTGCCTTTGTTTTGATTGTCTTTTGATGCATGTTTTTGTTTTTTTGCTGTAAACAAAGGAGTTTGATTATTGTACTGATCATGTGTCGTCTCACATGCAGGCTCTGGGATGCATCCTCTACCTGTTGTGTTTTAAACAGCATCCATTTGAGGATGGAGCCAAGCTACAAATTGTCAATGGGAAGTACTCCATGCCTCAGAACGACGTGAAATACACTGTGTATCACGACCTCATACGTATGTACTGCCCGTCAGGCACCCAGTCCATTTATTAATCGATACCAGCTAAATGCCTACAAGATAAATCTGATGCCTTAAGCCACATTATACCTTTACCAGACTGCCAGATGTTTAGCATTGCACTTGTAACAATAGCATTCATGTAGAAATGTCATGCAATTCAATGCAGTACAAAAATGCATTAGTGATTTAAAAACTTTTAACAATGTTAGTTTGGTTAAACAGTTTACAGTTTAAAGTAAAAGTCTGATTCTTTTTCTTTGTTCACCTTGATTTCTGTGTATGTGATTGATGACCAATCGGTTATTAATTAATTTTAATCAGCTTTCTGCCATTTTTATTAATATTTTTACAATTGTGTTGTCCACAAACATCAGTTATGCTATCATCAATTTTTATTTGTATCTTTTTTTATAATCATACTAACTTCAACCCACATTCTACCCATTCTCCTCCTCTTCAGGTTCCATGTTGAAGGTGAACCCAGAGGAGCGTCTGTCTATTACAGAGTTGGTCAACCAGCTCCAGGAGATAGCAGCAGCACGCAACGTCAACCCCAAGTCCCCCATTACTGAGGTAAGTGCGTGTTCTACCCTCGTCATTGATGTAAGATGTGATAATACGGAAAAAAACACTGCACATTTACAGTAGTTATGGTAAGGCTTGCATGTCTAATCCTTTAATACGTGTAAAGTAGCTCTTGAATCTTCATCTTGAGTTCATCAGACAAGTTGGTAGCAGTTAAAACGTTTCTGCTCCAGGTATCGTGTGACAGCTTTCACAAGTATTTTAGAGTAAACAACGTGATTGGTTAAGGGCACTGAGTCTCATCCTCAGTGTGTGCCAGCCTGTGAAGAGGCTATTGACAGGCCAACCACACGGCTTCTTCCTCTGTGTGTGTATGTGTAAACGTGCACATGTACACACACAACTTGAACACTCTCAAATTGCTGATGCGGTTACATTTGCTAAGCCTCACATACACCACACACAGACGCACAAACACACAAGCACAAAGGAGTCTGTATTCTTTTTCCCAGCGGCCTCTCTTGGCAGCTGGTAAGGTCTTAATGGGCCAAAAAAGAGGGAGAGAGACACACAGAGGTGAAGACTGAGAGAACTGAAATTTAAAGCAAACATGAAGTGATACCGACAGTTCAGTGGTAACACTGTGTTTTCATTGGCATGGTCAGTGTTATGGCAGAAAACAGCTTTTTTGTCACCTACACCACAGTAGCTAATTGAGCACAGTCAGATTTAAGATTTAATCAGGGTTTTGGAATAGAAATCGTTTTACGCTGCATGATGGCTGACCATATTCAACCTATCAGCCCCAACTCATTATGATTCTTACCGCAAATCCTTAAAAATCCAGGTACTTATCACTAAATCCTCGGTCATTGTTGTGATTGACATAAAGCTGCTTTCAGTTTCAACATTTGCCAGGTTTACACTGATTTCATTGCATTTTCCTTGTTTTGTGCTGAGTTGGTCAGTGTCAGTATCCTGAACTAAATTTATATTAAAGTACCGTTTAATCATTAGGTAATTAGCAAATCAAGGCAGATAGACTTTTTTTTACATTTCTACAAATTTCTCACTAAACTGAATCCTGATAAGGCTGGTAAGCGTGTGCAGAGTGAAGGCAGATTTGGCGATTGCTGATCTGATTAGGGTTAAGAAGGGGTTTCCCTGCTGGATGTAAGGAGATTATAATCCTCGGACTTCTACTCCTCCTCTTCTTTCTCTCCCTGCTGCAGTTCAGCACAGACATATGGAGAGGCTGAGAGGAGGGAAAGGAGAAAACTTGTGAGGGAAGTGAGACACTGAGAGGGAAATAAGCAAGACAGTTATGCAGAGGCAATCATCTGACACAGCCTGTTTTTAATTTGTTGTAATTTATCGACTTTTTGGAGTTACAGATTTCTATTTTATTTATTTTTTTCATTCAGGGACCTGACGTGTGCTTAACACATTTTTTTCCCCTCCTCCTTTGTTTAAGGCGCTCTGACTGATAATTTTCTATCAAGTTCTATTTTTATTTTATATATTTAAAAATTGTATATTTTTGGATTTTCTTTTCTTTTTTTGGATATTTTCGATGATGTTTTTCTTTCCCGGGGTGGTTTAGCCATTGTGGGTTTTTTTTAAACACAGACAGTCTAGGTCACAGAACATCTTTCATCATAACTTTTTAAAATATTGTTGACCTGCTCGTTGCAATGTTAAGTACGTACTACTGTTGGCGTCCAGTGTATGATGGATATGAATGTCTGCAGCTGCTGGAGCAGAACGGAGGTTTTGGCAACAATGGAGCACAGCCATCAATGCAGATCCACAACAGCCACAACAATGCAGGTAAATTGTTTTTTACATTTATTTGCTTGTTGTTGTTGTTGTATGACAGGGGTTTGGGTCAGTGTTTGTTAGTTTGTGTTTTTATTGTGTTTATTTGTTTCGGGTGTAAAGTATAGGAGACTAATACCGAAGTTCTTGAAAACACTATTATCGATATTTTTATATTATTGATATTTCATTCTTTCCTAAATGGAAATGTCACAACATCTTTATTTGCACATTTCATATTCATGATCTGTATAACCAGCTGTGCAGTGTATTTTAGTAGAGTTGCATTATGTTTCGAGAAACTGCCTACTACTCATTTACTTAAAGTTGAGTTCTGTACCACATAATGCAAATCAGTAATGACCTACATACGTCAACATCTAGGCAATCCTCTAAACTACCTGTTGCTGATTTTAACACAAACACAGATTGAGCACCTGCGTGGTTTCTTTAAGTCCTGTTTTTTAAAATTAGTTTAAAAAAACAACTCTGGCTGGATTGTTTTTCGGATAGACGTTCACAGGCAAGCCAGTTTACTGGTTTCTGTTTGAAATCCCTGCACAAACAGCCCTAGCACAAATGTACTCAGGTCTTTGCCTGATTGTAGAAGGCTGAGAGAAAGAGAGAGCACCTGTCAGTCGCTGTTTGGTAGAACACCAGTCAAATGTCTGTATCAGTGAGAAAATGCGTGACTCCTTTTGTTGAAAAATGCCCCTGTGGGCAGGTACCATTAGAAACTGCCAAATCAACATCTTTCCTATAAAGTTTACCGTTGAGCTGTGATTGAACATGACATTTAATTTCTCAACCGTATCCCTGAAAGTCACGCAATAAATACGGTAAGCTGGTATGTTAGTCACCATCCAGCTGTTTACACATTTAATACACATGCCAGGTCTTGCATATACAAAGTCCTGTGAGATCAGTAAAGGTTTCCTCTTTGTCTGAGCGAGGACCCAGTATGATGTACTGTCAGGAAACCAGCTATTTTTAATGGTAGAACAAATCCTCTTATTTGTTACAATATCTGTTCAGGTTCCTGGCATGATGAGTCAGACAGTCACTATAAATGCTTCTCAACAATATTTTTTTTTCAATCTGTAACACACTAATTTTGATATATCATTAGCCTTAACCTGCTAAGAGCCTCTTGTGTAGTATAATTAGCAATGTTTATATCACGGCTGATAGTGGTGTGCTCAGATTTCAAGGGGGTTTTTTTTGGTTTTGTTTTTATGTGAATCTGTTGCAAAAAATAATTTGATTCAAATACACCTTAGGAAAAAAATTAACATTACATATAGAGACCAACAATAGAGACCAGTGTGACTGTCCCACCATACAATAACGTCTCATTTAAATGAAGTAAATCATGAAGGATATAAAAATAACTAATTTATGTGTTGGTTTTTTTGTGGGGGTTTTTTGGAAAAAGATTTAGATTATTTATAGCATAAGCTCTAAGTGCTCGTTGGGAAAATTATATTTGTGTCTGTCTGTTTATCTCAGTGAGCATAATAGGCTTATTTTTCACATAAATATCCACACAGACTTGTAGGCACACAGACACACACACAGACCTGCAAGCTGTCTCCTGTCCACTCACTAAGAGGATTTCTGCACTGCCTGTCAACCATCTGTCGAAAGGCAGAATATGTTTGCTCTTTCCTGTGAGGAGTGGCTCCAACTGCCTGTTGTTGCACCTCGGCATCAGGCAGCTGCATTGCAGCTAAAATAAACTGATTTTATCTGAAATATTTAGTGGTAAAACACTTCCTTTTGAGCCCTTTTGATGAAGCCCAGAATGTAATTAAGTATTTATATGTGCATGATCATTTGTCACAAGTGTCACACCTCAGCTAATAGGTGCTGGGTGTGCTTTCACCAGCCAAACCGATTGTAAGTGCTTAATCTCAGGCATTGCCTCTAAAGTCATTATATTTACCATGTTCTTCTTTTCCTCACCATTTCTTATAGGTGTATATGACCCCGATCAGTCTGGCAGTGGCCTGTTTGATATCTTGAAGGGAGGAACAGAACGCTTCCTGACAAACATAAAGGATACTTCCTCCAAGGTCATCCAGTCAGTAGCTAGGTAAGAAGCCTCTCGTTATCAGGAGTATTATTGTTACATTTATTTATTTTGCACTTTTAGTCATATGTCTTTCAGTTAATCTTCATCATTATATATGTATTTTTCATTTTGGGAGTTAACATATATTTCAGTTAAACTTTTCACATTTGACATTGGTTATTATAACTTAAAATAGTTCCACTACGGTATTTACTTTGGCACTGACAAATTTGAATTTCCCGTAATGAAAGTATGCACTTTTGGCCCTATAACAAATTTTTAATTCAGACATCCAGCAAATGGCAACCATTTTTAAGCAATACTGTTTCTCAGTCATGTCATCATCTGTTATCATGTTTCATCATAGTTGCAAAGGCCTAATGTGAAAGCAGTTGTCTGCGTATGTCTCATTCTCACTCATACCCTGATCCCAGATTTACCTTTAAAAGGAACATTTTGTTGTCTGCTGGTCAAAAATGTGGTTCTACACTCAGATTTCATGTGTAAGGTCCCAGGAAATCACACACCTTAGTTCATCTGTCCTCCTTTTATTGACCATTGCTATACAAGCAAGTCAGTGGATTTTCTGGGCTGCTACACTTGGCTGCACTGGCCAGTGAAAATGGTAATGATTGCTGAAGGTATAGAAAGATTAAACAGCAAAGTGTTCCTTTCATAGTCCCATTATCCGCATCTTTAAAAAATTTGCCGTCTCATTTGGTTTTGTCATTGACTTTTTTTGATGATTTTGTTTTGTTTTTTTGTTTTGTTTTTGTTTGTTTTTTCTTCCTCTCTGTCTCAAACCCTCATGGTCCCACTATGTGTCCATCTCCTAGCAACCCAAGGTAAATATGGGTCAGCGGAATGCGTCAGTCCATGCGTTACTCTGTGTTCTGTAGTGTGTGCTTGATTTAGTAGGAAAGAAATGTTGCACATCTTCTGTTGCTCAGTGCCCACCATCCTAGCTTTCTGATCCTAACATCACGCATTCAGTAATTCAACTGAGTGAATGCAGAGCATGATGTGAATGGACAAATTCCCATACATATTGGTGAAATAACTGGAAAATTATATCAGCGAATGACACAGTAGGGCAGACTGACTGTCCGTGAGTTTTCCAGGAAACTATTTTCTATTTTATGAGAACTTTGTTTAAAGATAACTAGAATTGGTAGCATAGCAGTGATGGCCTTTGATTAAAAGGGTAAAGTACTCATTAACTTCAATTAAATGGCCTTTAATATAGCAATCATATTTCTTGCTATAAATTTTAAAAAATATGCATTTTTCTTTTCTGTCTGAGGGAAACAACAACCTTTTGATTTTTGCTTGTTATTTTTGTCAAATCAAGTGTGATAGCTCATTTAGTTTAATTGATTTCTTACTTTTAGAGAACCTTTAACTTATAACTCCACTAACATATCCATAAAAAAATTCACATGTTAAAAATAATTAAATTTTTACATATCTGTATAAAACTGATGTCATGGACTTAACATTAAGCAGTAATTAAACAAACAATATAGAGCTTAAATGACTTGTTAAGCCTGAGCCTTCGTCTCTGATTCTTCAAACCATGTGACAACACTTAACTATGGACTTGCTAAGTAACTATGTCTGGAGCTGAAGATAATGAATCCATACCAAAGTAGGCGAAAAGAAGCATCCAGCTTGAATATTTGCTGGAGAACAAATGCAAAGTCACATGACTGCAGGACGCTGTTGTTTTGTCACTGGAGTTTTGGTGTAGCTTGACTCAGCTGAGCTTTTATGATCTACATGGAGAATCCCATGATATCCAGTATTACTTTTAATTTAACTTCAGCTCAAAAATCAAAAAGGATATTTAATTTACATTTGACTGTTTTTATCTGTTTGACCTTTTTATTACATTTCTCTTTTCAAACCCGTTTACCCGTTTTATCTGCTATCTGAATCATCACATTTAATTAAGTTGTCATTCAGTTGCATGTTTTGCTTTTGCTTTTCTTTTTTGGCTGTCTTTTTCCTTTTAGGGTTCACTTTAACTCAGAATGTCCATATTGTTTTAATTAAAGTAGCTTCGGCATGGGTTGCAAATGTATAATTGCAATCGCAACTTTATATGTAGGCTGTGGTATACAGGTATGAGTGACTGTTTGACTGAATGTTGGAAGTTTTATTATGGTTCCACTACTTACCTAATATTATTTTCAGTTATATGTCTTAATTTGCATCATCTATTTGTCCTAATACTGATTAATACAGATGAATTTAATCATCATAGATGGGCCAAGCAAAGAAACTGAGCCATGGTTTGTTTGTCTGTCCTAAACTGTGCAGTAGAAATCAGGCTGTGTTGTTTTACCTGTTGTCATTGTTCCAGTATGATTGCATGTGCAGTGAGATCCAATGAAACCTAACTACATAAGTTTTCTGCCAGTATTACTTAATACTCACTACTATTTGTAGTAATGAAAGTTGCCGTAATGAATGCTGACAACAAGCATCTGCCAAATGCTTGTGCTATAATAAAGACTCAGCGGAAGGATAAACTGGGGACTGTCTTAATCAATTTTGCATAATTATTGAGGCAATATTCATCACAACTGTTTAAAATTGTGTACTGAATGGCTGCTCTGGCAGAGATTAATATTTTCAGTTGCTAATATTTCAACATCTGAGATTCAAAACCAGAGTTTTTGTCCAGCTTGCATCTGTTGGATTTTCTTTTTTCAGTCTCCCAGACATTAATCACCAGTTTAATTTCCTCTATTTTCTTAAATGTATCATTTATGCTTCTAACTTGTTTACATACTGCTTTTATAACAGCACTTGTCATTTCTGTTACAGCTATGCTAAAGGGGACCTGGATATTTCTTACATCACCTCCAGAATTGCAGGTAGGTAAAGTGCCTGAACACTTTAGCATTCAGTGACTATTATTTGATTGTCAAGTAATTTAATATTAAAGAACAAGCATAGCATCATTGGTTACCCGATTCATACATGCCTGTAATGAACGTGTGCGTGCGTGTGCGCGCGTGTGCGCGTGCAGTCATGTCTTTCCCAGCAGAAGGGGTGGAGTCTGCGATAAAGAACAACATTGAGGATGTCCGTCTGTTCCTCGATTCACGTCACGCTGGCCACTACGCTGTGTACAACCTCTCCAAACGATCATACAGGCCTTCTCGATTCCACAACAGGGTACGCACTTTGTGATACAAGGTTGTGTCGGTGTGGGAAATAACTTAAACCAAGGCTAAATTATAGCTCTGTGTTATACTTTGTTTACTCTCAATGATCACAGGTATAGTAGTGTTTATCTGTGCTTTTGTCATGCATAAGCTTATTATTGCCACAACGGTAGCTATTGTTGAAGCATGTGTCCTTGTTACGTCACTATTTCAGTAATTTGTATTATTTGTGCGCGCGCAGGTTTCAGAGTGTAATTGGCAGCTGCGCCGTGCCCCTAACCTCCGCAGTCTCTACAGCGTATGTAAGAACATGCATCTATGGCTCAAACAGGACCAGAGGAACATCTGTGTGGTACACTGTCTGGTAAGTAAGTCAGTCCTTTGCGCCTGCTCTTGTAGAGACGAGTACATGGCGTCAAATTGAATGGAGTGTCACCTGTCATAAATTTAATGTGTACCCTTTCTGTGTGCAGGATGGCAGAGCAGCATCAGCAGTGGCAGTTTGCTCCTTCCTGTGTTTTTGCCGCCTTTTCACCACCGCTGAGGCAGCAGTCTACATGTTCTCAATGAAACGCTGTCCACCAGGCATAGCACCTTCACACAAGAGGTATTGAAAAATATTCAAGTTTAAAATGTGTAGAAAAGAGGACTGGTGTGTGTTGGTCATCCTTAGTAGGTCACGTATCAAATACTACATGATCTCAATTTTGCAGGTATATAGAGTATATGTGTGACATGATGGCAGAGGAGCCCATCATCCCTCACAGCAAGCCTGTAGTTATTCGCTCCATCATCATGACACCAGTGCCACTGTTCAACAAGCAGCGTAATGGGTGCCGGCCATTCTGCGAAGTCTACGTTGGGGACGAGAGGGTGCTCACCACATCACAGGAGTATGACAGGATGCAGTAAGTTTGTTTTTTTTGGTTTGTACAAGGATGGCCTGACAAGTTTCCCTTTATTTTAACAATCTAACAAGTATGTTACTGTTTTCCTCTCTCACAATCTCATGTTTCAGGGATTTTAAGATGGAAGATGGGAAAGCGGAGATTCCTCTCAATGTTACCGTTCAAGGAGACGTGCTGGTGGTGATCTATCATGCAAGATCTACGCTGGGAGGACGTCTGCAGGCAAAGGTATAAATACAGACACCCTTGCTTAAAGCCTCAAGGTGGCAACGAATATGAAGAAATGCACTTTTCAGAGCATTTATAATAATAATTGTCTTTCAGATGGCGTCCATGAAAATGTTCCAGATCCAGTTCCACACAGGCTTTGTACCAAGAAATGCAACGACTGTCAAGTTTGCCAAGTACGTATGTTGCCTTGATCCATAACATACTGCTGCAGGTTATATTTTCTTATTATTTATTAACAGCTGAATGTGGTCTTCATTGTTAAACTTTTACAGCTGCACTGCTTGTAACAAGTAATTTAAACTATACTTTCTACATTATTTCTTTTTTATCTGCTTGTTGTTTTTCAGGTATGATTTGGATGCCTGTGACATCCAGGAGAAGTACCCAGACTTGTTCCAGGTCAACTTGGACATTGAGGTTGAACCCAGGGAGAGGCCCAGCACCAAGACTCCTCCATGGGAGGGCTTTCAAACCAAAGGCCTCAACCCCAAGATCCTTTTCTCCTCTCGTGATGAGCAGCAAGAGATCCTCAGCAAATTTGGTACATGGCTTTACTTTGCCTGAATGTTAGTTTAGTAGTGGAGAAGCGTTGGTAGAAAGTGTTGTCATCTTTTTATTTTATTTGTATATTAGATGTTTTACTTCTTACGTGGCTTTAAGGTGCTTTTAAGTTCTTCTAAGTTTGCTTCTACAGATGAAATAAACTTGGATCCTTTATCACTGCAGGTAAGCCCGAGTTGCCTCGTCAGCCAGGTTCTTCTGCGTTTTATGACTCAGAGTCGGCCCAGCCAGCTCAAACCCCAGACAGCTCCAATGCAACAGAACCAGAGTCTCCGATGAGCAATGATACTAATTCCAGCAACTTTTTCCAGACCCTAGACTGGGAAGGTAATGTACTGTCATATTCTGTTCTGTTAATCTGTAATGTGTAATTCTATTAATCCGTGTAGCATTTTCTTAACAAACCTTTCTCCCTGGAAAATCTCACTGACTAGCTTCCTGTGATTATAGATGTACGTAGCGCTCAGGATGCCTCAGACAGTCAAGAAGGAGGATATATGAATGAACAGGAGGATCTGAGTGATCAGTCAGAAGGAGAGTCCTATTCTTACTCTGCCACCAGTGGAGAGCCAATGTCACGTGACCACAGCGAGCCGCTGTTTGATTCTGACTTTCAGGTGCAGAAAATCTTTGGTTGGCTTGTATTATCTTATCAATAAACTATTACCCCGTTTATCACACTGTTAATTACTACCAAAATTCTTTATTTCTTGTATCCATGCATTTCTTTATTTTCCTGGTTTCCTTGTCTCCTCTCAGACGGCTTCTCCTGCAACACAGGAGGCTCCTCCTGAAGACACAGCTGACCTCTTGGGGTTGAACTCTGACCCTCAACCTCCAACCATGTCCTCAACTTCGTCCTCTGCTCCACAACACGGAGACCAGGGAGGAATGAAAGGTGCTTCTAGCAACAGCGACCTCCTTAATGACTTATTTGCACCTCCTGCTGGTCAGACTGGAGCAGTGCAGGAAGACTTGTTCTTCAGTGGGCCAGCCAGTGGAGCCACACCAGACCAAAAACGTAAAAGCTGAGGCTTCACACATGCTTACTGCATTATTCTGAGATTTCTTGGGTTGCACTTAATAGATATTTCCTGTCACTTTGCCTGTGTTGCAGCCATGGGGGATCTTTTTGATCCGTTTGGGATGGGGTCGGGTTCTGGTGTTGGCTCCAGCGTTGGTTCATCTCGACAAGCCTCTGGACCAGACCTGTTTGGAGACTTGTTGGGTTCTGATAGTTCAGCAACCAGTGGATTTGGTTCAGCTCACAGTAACGCCACTCCTGCTTCCAACACCAGCCTCTTCAACCTCAGTAAGTACATCAGTTCCTTGACGTCCAGCTATCTTTGAGCTGGATTTCATATTCTTTCTTCTGGTAACATTTTGTATTTACAGTGGAAAGAGTCCATTGTTGACACTTAAGATGTTTGTGTTATTACAGATAAGCTTGTAAATGATACCCCTAAAATGACATCATCAGCCAGCCAACCAGACCTGCTGGGTGGGTGGGACAGCTGGGCAAAAGGAACCACTGCTGGCATGAGCACCACTGCCAGTAAACCAAGTTATACCAACACAGGTAGGAGAAACCTTTCTTACAGATCTTTTGGTGACTGAAAAATTTTGAGATTTAAAGCCAAAATCAAAATTGAAACCAGATAAAAGTGTTGACTTGTATATTTTGATCATTTTAGCTTCTGGTATGCCATCCATGTCAAAGGCCAAGTCTCAGACCTTTGATCCTTTTGCTGACCTAGGAAACCTGAGCTCCAACTTGCCAGGTAGGAGCTCAGGTAAGCTGAGGAGTTATTTCCATAAAAGAGGAAGTCTGTCAATCTTATAAGCCTTTACATTTATCTCATCTCCATCTTTTTCCTGTAGGTTCCTCCAGCAGTAATTTTTCTGGGCCATCCTTCGGCACAAAGGGTCCTTCTTCCTCTTCTTCCTCTGCTAAGCCTCAAACTCAGCCATGGCAGTCTGCAAGACCCACCTCAGCCCAGAACAAACCTTGGATATCTGGATCTGGCCCCAAAGGGTCTTCAGCTTCTCAGCCTGCAGGAACACAGTCCTCTAAACCCAACTACAACCTTAACTTCTCCAGTGTGATCGGTGGGAGAGAAGAGAGAGGAGTTCGTGGGCCTGGATTTGGTAAGAGAGACATGATTACAATACTAGTTATCTATTTTGAACAAAACAATACCAGTGATATTACAAAGTTCAATTAAGTTTTTACAATTTAGAAAATTAAAAATGAGTAGAAAACCGATTGATTCAGTTAGTTTGTCCAGAATTTTGTCTTGCACTGTATGTAATTAGCAGTAAGCAGGGGAGACCATCAGCAGCTTAAAACAGAGGCTGGAAACTAAAAAGATGGAATTTGGAATATTTATGTTCATTACTTTGCTGATTTTCTGTTATTATTTTATATTTTCCTGGTCTTCTTATAAAAGGCTTCTCATTGTATGACTGACCCTAATAAATGCCCATAAAATTTCCATATCATAAATGATTTCGTTTTATCTGTGCTGCTGACACTCAGGGCCCAAGCCAAAGGTAAAGGAGGATGATTTCGGGGATCTGCTCTCAACTCAGGGTTTTGCTTCTAAACCTGACAAGAAGGGACCAAGGACCATTGCTGAAATGAGGAGACAGGAGATCACAAAAGACATGGATCCTCTCAAATTACAGGTAGGTAGCAAACTGAACACACATGTGAAGTCACTTTTATTTATATGCCACATTTAAAAACAGAAGTTGTCTCAAAGTGCATTAAGATATAAATAAAGTCTAAAACTCACATAACCATGACTGCAACCATAAGAGTTAAAAGGTAAATGTGCTAAGAACATGGTTACAGTAAAAAGGAAAGCAAAAATTAGAAGTGAATAAATGCATTTACAAAATCATTCAAATATAATAGAATTAAATTGTTAAAAAATAAATGAATGCATACAATTGGAAACAGTAACCAACTAACTAAGCTTTTAAGGCAGCAAAAAATTGGTAGATCTTTAGTAATGGCTTAAAATTTTCAACTGTTAAATATGATTTATTATGTTTCATCTGTTTTTATTATATCTGCAGACAACAATGAAAGTCACTTTTTAGGCAGTAGTGGTGGGCTAACAGGAGATGATGGGAGGATGAGCTAAGAGACTTGTGGCAGAATATGTGAAGGGCATGTTGGACACTTAAAAACACACAGTGTGGAGAAAAATCTAATCCTTGTGAAGAGTCACCATTGTCCACCGACACAAAAAGCCAGCCAAGGGTGACGACCAA